GTAATCCCAGAGACCTTGAATGCTGAGGCAGAAGGATTACAAGTTTGAGGCCAGCCTCAGCAAATTAATGAGACTTTCTCAAAATAAAAAAATTTTTAAAAGGGCTGGGGCTGGGCACAGTGGCATGCACACCTGTAATCCCAGCAGCTTGAGAGGCTGAGGTAGGAGGATTGCAAGTTCACAGCCCAGCAACTTAGCAAGACCCTGACTCAATATAAAAAACAATAAAGGGCTGGCATTGTGGTTAAGTACCCCTGGGTTCAATCCCTGGTATAAAAATAAATAAATAATTCTGTTATTTAGGTTTATACTTAAGCATATACTACAAGGTAAACTTTTGGTATGTTCCATTTCTATGCTTTTTTTTTTTTTTAGTTGTAGTTTTGACACAAAATCTTTATTTCACTCATTTTTTAATGTGTTGCTGAGGATTGAACCCAGGGTCTTGCACATGAGAGGCAAGCGCTCTACTACTGAGCCACAATCCCAGTCCCTGTGCTGTACTTTTTCGAAGGGGCATACTTTCGCCCATATTTAGATGAAGAATCACTAACTCCATAACAGTATTAGAAAGAGAACTAAATCTGTGCTTCTAAATCACTGAGGAACATCTTGAGTACTTGCAGTGAAGTCAGTGATAAAAACTTCAAATGCAGGGGCTGGGGTTGTGGCTCAGTGGTAGAGTGCTCACCTAGCACATGTGGGGCCCTGGGTTCGATCTTCAGCACCACGTAAAAATAAATACTATGTATTTTATATAGTATTTCATCTAGTGAACTAAAATATACACATGAAAAAAATGTGTAAACATAACACTTAAAGTGTAATGTGAAATATATATAAAGAAAGAAAAACTTAAACACTTAATGTAAGTAATTACACATCTAGGTCCCTATTAATCCTGTGACAGATATTTATCAGCTTCATTTCATTCATTCATTCGTTTATTTATATGTGGTGCTGAGAATCGAACCCAGTGTCTCACACATTAGGCAAGTGCTCTATCATTAAGCCCACAACCTCAGCCCTATAAGCTTCATTTTATACATGAGGAAATAGGTACCAAGAGGCTAAGCAGTTTGAACAAAGACACACCATTAGTAAATGAATCTGAAGCCTGGATTCTACTAGTCTGATACTCCACTCCACAGAACTGTGGAAATTACATGTCAGCTGCTTGACCCAAGAGCCTGATTTTTCCCTCAAATTCCTTAAGAGTGGTGTTCCTGGTGCAGGCGTTGTGGCTCAGCAGTAGAGTACTTGCTGAGCATGTGTGAAGCACTGGGTTTGATCCTCACCACCACATAAAAATAAATAAGTAAAATAGGGATATTGTGTCCATGTACAACTAAAAATAATTTTTAAAAGTTAAAAAGAATGGTGCTCCTCTGTCCCCTAAGTCTTAACCATATATCTCTTCAAATATTTGACACTCTCTTCTCTCCCCAGAATCCCCACATCTAGTTATTTTCATTTGTCCTTTCCCTCTCTTACGCTGGTGTAGATGTCACCTCATCCTGCAGTACGCACACAAAGCCTACCTCATAAATTCCTATAGCCCACTTTACACATTACCTTTTTTTTTTTTTTTTTTTGATACTGGGAGCTAAACCCAGGTGCATTTTAACACCAAACTATATTTCTAGCCCTTTTTGATTTTGAGACCAGGTCTCACAAAGTTGCTCAAGACCTCGCTGAATCGCTGAGGTGGGCTTTAAACTTGTGCTCCTCCTGCCTCAGCCTCCAGAATTGCTGGGATTACAGGCGTGCATCACCATACCCAGCAGACATTACTATCTAACACCACCACCACCAATATATTTGTTTTCTAAATCTCTCTCTCCACCTAACTCAAAGAAAATGCCCACACCAGCTCTGCTCCCTCAACTCCCAAAGTGTTTTCTTCAAGTCTTAGATCTGTTCTGTTTTCCTTATTTTTGAAAAGTGATTCCCTGTTCTCAGATTATTCAAAACCTTACTATTTTTAAAGGTCCACTCTCCCTCAAGTGATCCTGCCAAATAATACCTGGATAATCCTACTCTTCTTGAAACATGCAGCAATTTTGACTCTAGAGTATTATACATTTGACAATTTATCATATCATATATGCCCATGATTTATTTTTCAAGTCTGTTCAACAAAGGTAGAGACTGTTTTTCTTTTGGTGCTGGGGACTGAATCCAGAAGTGCTCTATTGCTGAGTTACATTCCCATCTCTAAGTTACTCAGGCTAGCCTCGAACTTGGGGATCCTCCTGCCTCAGTTTCTAGTTGCTGAGATTACAGACATGCACTATTATGCCTGGCAAAATTTGTCTTTTCTGAGGGTGGTTGAGGGAGGGAGAATCCCGAAACAGTAAGACTCTATCTAAAATGAACAAAGACCTCAAGATAGAGCCATCTGTCTTAGTGGGAAAGGGGGATAGTAAAAACTTTTAGAAAACCAAATAAAGCAAATCAACGTTGAGTAAAAACAGTTCCAACATCCAGGAATCTCCAAACAGTGACAGGCAGCAGCAACTCCTTTCCTTTATTTCTTCCCTGTGTAAAAGGAAATTCAAGTTTTGCAGCTCTCCTTTCCTGCCCTCAGGTCCCCAATCAGACAAGTGACCACAGGCACCAAATCTTAGGCTGGATAACAGCACAGGCCTCAGACACCTGCCTCCAATTCTGAGGTAAAAATGGATATTTGTGTAAGTCAGCATTAAATCCATCAAAAAAGAAAAGTGCCACTCAAAACCCGTGGGGGCAGCTAGGCCTGAAGCTTTAGGGTAGATCAGAGGCAGTAGTCTTCTGAGGAATGAGTCTCAAGACAAGAGGCCACCTAAGCTTGGTTGGATGGAACCCCACGATAATGATGGTCACCTCTATTTGTGTAGAGGGCTTCTGAGGGTAAGTCAGCTCAGTTGTCTGAAGAAAAGTGGCACACACAAATCTTTCAAAGGAAGCAATCAAAGCAGATCCTGGTCACAGCTCCACCTTCATGTGCCCAAGTGGTTGCTGGGTCAGCTGCAGGGCAGAGGCAGGCTTCCAAGGAGAGGGAGACAATGGGGTACTTCTAGGCCACATAAGCCTGTCTCTCAGGAGATTTCCAAGAGGGAAAGCTCATTCTCGGGGTCGGTTGACCATGACTTCGCCCAGGGCCTCCAACACCTCCCGCTTGTAGTCTTCAAAGTCCCCATCAATTTGGCTAACACTTTGCTCCTCCACTACCCACAGTTGGCAGTTGGTTTCTGTGATGAGTCGGGCATCATGGCTGACGACAATCACAGCTTGAAGAAAGACGATGAGAACAGAAGGCAGGGAGAAAGGAGAAAGAAGAATCAGAACATGGACAGAAAGGAGTTCCAGCCAAAGGACACTACAGCTTGGTCTCCAATGGGAGAAGGAAGGTATGTTCAGAACTGACTTACCACCCTTGTACTCATTGATGGCCTCCCCCAGAGCATCGATAGATTCTATGTCCAAGTTATTGGTTGGCTCGTCCTATGGAGGAGGAAGAATGCCATTACAACTCCCTACCTTGCATTGCTGTTACTCTTTTCCCATTCTCATTCAGTTCTCTCACCAAGATGAGGACATCGGGCTCCCGACAGGCCAGCTCTGCAAAGACAACTCGGGCTTTCTGCCCACCTGTCACAAAGAAAAAGGAGGTCTAAGGCTGGAGTTGTGGCTCAGTGGTAGAGCACCACATAAAGATAAAATAAAATAAAGGTATTGTGTCCATCTACAACTAAAAAAATTTTAAAAAGAAGAAAAAAAAAGGAAGTCTATCATATCTCCCACCATCTTACACTGCTGAAGGTAACCCTCAAAGAGTACCCATGTGTGCCCTAAGGCTCCCCAATTCTTGGTTCCTTCTCCTTTCTGCTCTAGGAACAGTGTGTACACGCATGATGAGGAGGGCATCTTCCCCAACCCCTGGAGTGGTACCAGAGAGTTTGCAGATCTGGATGGTGTGCGCATGACTCTCAAGGCCAAAGCGGCCCAGGCACTTGCGTGCATCCTGGTAGGCCAGGTTGAAGCTCCGCTGCAGATATTCAGTGGGCGTCTCCTCCATGTGCAGCTGCTCTGCATATTGCTGGTTGAAGAAGCCAATTTTCTGCCCAAGAGGAAAGGGAGGTAACCAATCAAAGTGGTGCTTCCTCTACCCAATTTTCAGTCCCTGATTTCCAAAGTCAACTTACCAATCGGTGGTTCTTTCTCATTTCCCCATGTGTCTGCAAGGAAAAAGCAAGTGGTAAGGGTAGGGAAAGGGCAAAAGGGGCTGCACTTCCAGATCCCAACTTTTCTTTTTTCTGTGGTGCTGGGGATTAAACCCAGGGCCTTGTACATATGAGGCAAGCACTCTACCAACTGAGCTATATCCCCGGCTCCCCAGATCCCAACTTTTCTGAAAGAAAACACCAGAATTGGGCTGGGAACAAGTGCACACACACACACATCCTAACAGGATGAACGCACACCCAGGAAATCAGAAGGGGCAAAAGGAGTAAGAAGGAAAATAAAGGAAAGAAGAAAAAAAAGGACAACCAGGAAGGGATTAACTGCAACAAACTTTCATATGGTGAGACTTACGAATAGCACAGGGTAAGGCCTCTACCTTAGATGGGGATTTAAGACAGCTGCTGGAAAGACTTTAAAAATACCTTTCTAAAGATCTACTTTGTGTGTCTTCCCTCCACTGGGAGAGGAGAAAAGGCTACTGTCTTTTTAAAGCACCATATGACAATACTCTGCAAAAGTCCTGCAAATACCTATTACCAAATAAACTATGGTAGACCATATAAACTAAACATATGAGTATATAATAAATAGCATACAGAAACACTTAATATAATTGTTATCTGGAGAAGGCTCATAACAATTCATGTGATACCCCACTTCATAAGAATAATAATGTATCTTTGCAAAGGAAAAAAAGGAGAAAGGTATCCACCAAAACAGAAATACCAATCATATCTATACTTTCCTCTTGGCTCAAACAATTCTTTTTTTGCCACTATACAACCTGCTTCAACACTAGGAGTCTACAGGCACAGAGGCCAGGCAATGGTTTAGGGTTGGAGTATGCTCTGGTATGGGATACTATGCTAGAGGTCCAGGGGACAGGCCCGGCATAAATCCAAACCCATGCATAGCTTATGTATTATTATTTTTTTCTTTTTTTGGTACCGGGAATTAAACTCAGGGGAGCTCAACATTGAGCCACATGCTCAGCCCTACTTTGTATTTTATAGGGTCTCACTGAGTTGCTTAGCATCTTGTTTTTGCTGATGCTGGCTTTGAACTCCTAATCCTCCTGCCTCAGCCTTCTAAGCCACTGAGATTACAGGCATGTGCCACCATGCCCAGCCTTGATGTGTATTTTTTTTGTAACATGTAAAATTGGCTTCTTCAACATGGAGAGGTGCCCCCACTGCAACCCAGGCTTTCCTTTCTCTCTTCCCTAAACTGATTTACACTCTCCTCCTCTATTACTCCTTAGGGAGATGAATCATCTGTGATGGGGTTTTCAACCCACCCTACCAAGGGGGTTCCCTGACTCTAGCCTCCATTGGACAGGGGGGCCGTCACACTTCTCATACTCTCCCTTCTTGGCTCCAGGACTCACCGGTGTCAGCTTGCCTGTCAGCAGCAGGAGTAGTGTGCTTTTCCCCACACCATTAGGGCCCACGATGCATACTGAAAGAAAGAAATGACCAAACCAGGAGATCTCCAAAACTCTCCCTGTGACTCCTGTTCCACACCCAAACCACCCTAAACCAACTCACTCCTTGAGTCCATGTCGATGCCAAAATCCAGGTTCTTAAAGAGTGGTTTCTGCCCCTCATAGCCAAATGTCACACCTGAAAGTCAGCAAATGAAGCAATTTATGCTCATTTCAGTTACTGTAAAGGTGACCCTAAATGTCCTAGCCTCAGAGGAAAAGAAAGGTCCCTGCTGGGGCTGGGACTATGGCTCAGTGGTAGAGCACTTGCCTATATGTGAGGCACTGGGTTCGAGCCTCAACACCACATAAAGACAAATAAAGGTATTGTCCATCTACAACTAAACAATAAAGATATTTTCTAAAAAAAACCTGTTTGGAAAAAAAAGAAAAGAAAAAAGAAAGGTCCCTGCATCGCTGGAGTCTGGGTGCACACGCTTGTGCTTCCTGTTGGCGGTGGGTAGTACTCACCATGCAGACCCAGCACAGGAGGGCTGAGTGGCGGGGGATTTGGGAAAGTGAAGCGCACAGTGTACTCCTTCGGGCGCTTCAGGAGCTCAGGGGCTTCCTGGGATTCCTCATCTTGGTTTTTCCGACGGCATTTCTGCTGTTTTCGAGTCAGGGCCTCCTTTGTTTGCTTTTCCTGGAGGGAAAAGAACGAAATCTGTATGCTACCCAGTACACTGTTCTTGGAAGGTGTTCCACAGACCCCCTGCACTGTTAGGAGAAGAGTGGTAGTGGTATTCACCGCCTGCTTGGTGGACTTGCCACCAGCCTTCAGCTCCTTCAGCTTTTTTTCCTGCTTCTCATACTGTTTCAGCAGTTCTTTCTGCTTTTGCTGGTACATCTTCTTGAAGGTCACTAGCATGCAAAAGGGAGAGCGGTTTCAATGGTTACCCCTCTCTCTAGCAGAGGGACAACCGAGGATAGACAAGGATGGGGAAGACTATCACTGTTAAGAAATCTATAAAGATTCAGTTATCACAATGCCCCTACAGCCCTGCTACCCAGGCCACCTACTGAGGGTCAATCTCTCCTCCTGCCCTTCACAAACAACCCTACTTACTATAATTGCCTCTATAGTAGTGGAGCCGCTGGGCATCGAGATGGATGATATCAGTACACACATCATCCAGAAAGCCCTGGTCATGGGAGACAATCAGCAGTGTCTTCCGCCAGCCCTGAAGATAGCTGGGTTCAGAGAAGTAGGGAAGTGTCACAATGGTGAAGGGACAGACAAGTCCGGAAAAGCAAACAGGCAATGAGGAGGACCGGAAAAGAGGAGGACTGGACTGGGAGCTGTCAAGGGCATTGCAGACAACAACTAGAGGGAATGAGGGCAGGGAGGGATGGGGTAAAGTACACAATGGAAACCAATGACCCAAGGCCATAACCCAGGGCAACGCACTTATTGAGCCAGATAACAGCATTGAGGTCCAGGTGATTAGTGGGTTCATCCAACATCAGCAGTGTAGGCTCCATGAACAGTGCCCTAGAGCAGAGAGTGGCAGTGCTGTCAGGGCTGGAAGAAGATCCCTGCTCAGCAAACCCCAGAGAAGCCTCCGGGAGGCAGAGCCCATGAAAACAAACACTCCCTCCTAACCTCTCTTCAGAGATGGTTTTGGGCAGAAGATGTTGACAAGAACATATCATCAGGTAGGGAGAGAAATGGAGAAAGACTCCAAGGTCTCAAAATGTACATAGTAAGAGAGAAGTTGACCTCAGAACTCCCTACTGGCCTTGAAAGAGTGGGAAAAAGTGAGAAGGCCCTAGTAGTTTGGGGTTGGAAGGGAGGTGGTGAGGCAGATGGCCCACCTGGCCAGAGAGACACGCATGCGCCAACCGCCTGAGAACTTCTGCGTGGGCCGATTCTGCATTTCAGGGTCAAAGCCCAGACCAGCCAGGATCCGTCGTGCTTTGGCCTCTGCAGCTGCTGCCCCAGTGGCTCGCAATTCCTCATATACCTGGGAGGAAGAAGAGGACTCATGTCTGGGGGCCTAGAGACCCCTCCCCCCAAGTCTGAGCCATGTCCCCTATGCCATCTCCTCTACCTTCTCTAGCCTCTCAGCAGCTGTGTCATCCCCCTGTTCCAACTGCCTCTGAAGTCGTCGTTCCTCTTCCAGCAGCTTCAATCGCTTGGTGTCAGCTCGAAGAACAGCCTGCACTGCTGGTGTTTCATCTGCTACTACCTCTGGAGGGCAGGGGGACAACAGTCAGGTCACTTCTGGGCCCACAGAACCTATTTTTCTCTTCCCTTTAGATCCATTGCTGGTCTGCCTAACTTTTCCCAGCACTTTGTACTTATTCCAAATAAGATATTCTCAAATCTTTCAATTATCCTCCTCTCCTGTCTTTCTAGCAACCCTTTCCCAGGCCCCAGCCTCCTTCATATCCTTCCCAACTCCACAACCACAACTTCTATTTTTGACTGGCTCTTCTGCTCTAATTGCCCACCCTGTCTCCCTCTCCACACTGGCTCACCCTGCTCACACAGCAGCACATCAATGTTAGGAGGGATGCTCAGGGCACGGTTGGCGATGTGCTTGAGGAGTGTGGTCTTGCCCTTGCTGGGGAATGAGAACTATGAGGATCAGGCCAACATGGAGAAATCCCTTCTTTCCCCTTCAGTCCCATCTCCTCACCCGTTAGGTCCCACCAGCCCATAGCGGCGTCCAGCTACGATGTATAGATCTGCATTCACAAACAACTCCTTGCCGTGGGCCGAGATACTGAACTTCTCCAGCTACAGCCATTGGGACAGGGGGCAAAGGGGAAGGTCAAAAACGTAAGAAGTCTCATTCTAGGACAGGAGCTACAGCTTTGGCCCTACAGGGGAGATCGACAAACCCCTACTTCCAGCAGAATCACCCTTTTCTCACCATAGCAGGCTACTGCCTCTTATTGGAGTCTTCCCATCTCTAGCCAGGTTGGTGTACCCTGTTCTTTTCCCTCCCCAGGTGGACCCCTCTGCTTCCACTGTGTTTTCTGTCTCCTTGCTCAGGTTGGTAGAACCCAAGATGCAGAAAATACCTCCCCATTTTCTTCCTGGTGGAGTAGCCCTTTCACACCCCGACTTCCAGGGTTGCCACAGCCACTCAGGGCAGGTGAGAGAACCCACTCCTTCCTAGGTGATCAGGTTGGACAAGGACTCCTCAGATCTCACCTTGATATCAGATGCATTTTCTAACATGGCCTGTCGGGAGGACACCTCTGCCTGGGATACAGAGAAGTCATTTTCGGCAGCATTAGCTGCTTTTAATAAAGCCACCTGGCGCTCATAATCCATCTGAGAAGGAAAAACTACATTGGAGGTCATCTGTATCATCGCCAGTTTCCTGTTATCATGATACAATCCCATGTCATCAGGCACTAAGATGATGTTCAGAGCATAATTCTTTCCTTGTTCTAATTGTTTTACTTCAAGTAGTCCCCAAAGCTCTCCTGCCTTGTCCCTAACTTCACATATGCCTTAGTTTAATCATTAAAAACAACAACAAAAAAGCCTTTATTTTGACCACTAAGAACCAATGACTTACCTGTTTCTTGAGCTTTTTCTTCTCCTTTTTGCTAAGGTGAGCATAGGGATCATCTGCCTTAGACTCTCCCTCTTCCTCCTCTCCTTCCTCTGAACCCTGTGGAAAGCAGTGGATGATGGAAAAAAATAAAGACCCTTCTATAACTTGAATTTCTATCATACATACCCACCTTACTCCCCTCCCACCTGGTCCCAGTTCCACAGCTGGTTCTGTCCTCCTTCACCCACAATGCTGAGAGGTCTTGGGATCCTATCTTATTCTCACTCCCACCCCTTGCTCTCCATGCAGTACTTTGTTAGTCTCTGCCACTAAGTATAGGACAACACAGATGGTATAAATATATGAAGTGTAACAATGTTTATGTACCTAGAGATACAATTTTTAGGAAAATATAACTGAGGGTGGAATAAGTGAGTTTTAAATGATATTCATTTGTATCAAATAAATTTCTGTAGTTTATACATTAACATGCAAAGAAAGGATCAGCCAGCCCTAATGTACAACCAGTGAAGAATATAGAACTTCAGAACTAGAAACTACTTAGCGGGGTTAGGGGAGTGTAATAGAGTGATAAAAGTGCTTGCCTAGCATGTCTGAGGCCCTGTGTTCAATCCCTAGCACCACCAAAAATAAATAAACCATTAGTTATAGGAACTCTAGAAAACACTAGAATTCCGTACATCACCCAGATGGAAAAACTGAGAAAACAAGAGGTAGGAGGGTCACACAGGTAGTGAATGGCAGATCTGGACCTGACTAAGATAAACTGTAGGGCTCTTTCCTCTCTGGATCAGGAGCCAAAACCTATAGCTCATGAGCCAAATCTGACCTGATGCCTGTTTCTATATGGCCTGTGAGATAAAAATGGTAGTTGGATGTAGCTCAATGATA